GTTTTTTTTTGTTTTTTGTTTTTTACCCACAGGTACAGATGACGACTGACAGAACCCTTTCTACGATGGAACTTTCCTGTACGACTGAGAGCCTCCACAAGCATTCATATTAAATGCATATTTAGGGAAAAAAGTAACAATTGATCCGAGTACAAAATCTAAAAAAAACAAACATTTATTCATAAAGGACATTTGATCCTTACTATCAATGTCAATCAAACCCATAGGAAGCAAACAACATGGCGGAGAAGTCATTGCTTATCATACCATCCACAGTCATGGATTAATGAAATAAAATGCACACAAATACAAAGCTTACCCAGCACCGTCTTAATGTAAGCAGAAACAAGCCTAAGTCAAAAGAACATTTAGAATTCTGAAGAATTAAAAGTGGTTTTATGTTAAATTCTTGCTACATCCCTGACTACTATATTACTGGAAATAGAATTTATAGTAGTGTCTACATCTCTGTCCTGGATGCTCAATATGGCATAGTCAACATTAAGTTGACATTAATAATATAGAAACAGAATGTACACTTGTAGGCTTTGTTTAGTTTTAAAGGGAATGTCAAGCCCAAAATGTTCTTTAAAATAACATTCTATGCAGCCCCACCAGTCTAAACACAGTATGAGGATTCATATTGTGTTTGTGGAATATGAATTGAGCAATGACATCACAGTTGCTCGAAATCAGGTCACAACCAATCACAGCTCATCTTGGAAACTTCAAAAACTCAGCACAGTCATCTCTGAGGGATGACAATTATTCCACAACAGTTTAAAAATGTGGTTTAAAACACTGCCTGTACAGTTAATAATGTCTTTACAATGTCAACAATTTGATCCTGGAACAGCTAAAGTGCTAAATTCCCCCCCCCGCCCTGTGGGACGAATGGTTTTAAAACGTGAACAAATTGAAAAGGTTGACCGGCGCGCCGGAACGGATTGTGATCGACCTCCCGCTGTACTTGCAAAGAGAGCATTTTCAGGGTGGCAAGCTCGGCAGGATTATACCACTCGTGGAAGCGAGCGGTGACCTGATGCAAATGTGTGCTCTGGGAAGTTCCAAGTGGGGAACAGTGGGATGCAGAGGAAGTGAGGCCATCTGGAAAACTACAAAAACAGTCGGATGCTGATGAGAGGCGAGATGGCGACAGGGCACAAAAAGAGACCACCTACATTGTCTCTATTTGTCTTACACAAGTTACTGATCCGGCGCTGCGCAGTCAGAAGGCTTTGGGGGAGCCAGGGTTGAAAAGCTTACACTGGGGCTTGAGTGGAAAAGAAAAACATAAATAAAATAAAATCAATATCCGAGTAAATGATATGGGGTCCAAACTCAGATGGAAGACAAAAACATGGCAACGGATGACTGGGTGAACAGTCACAACCAGCGAGGGTACAGAACGGAGAGTTTTTGATTCCCCTCCCTCCGCCCACCACCCCCTCAAAAAAAGTTTTGAATTGCTGTTTTGATGTACAGGTTTACCACTTGGTTTGTTTTGAATACGATATTTTTCGACTTTCTCTCAAGTGTTAATTGTGTATCTTGTTCTGGATTGGGGGTAAAATAACACTGCTGACCTCTAGGGTGAACACTTCTCACCTGAAAAGCAGCTGCAATTGGTTCCAGTTCATACCATGACCCCGAAGCTCCCTGTACAACAGACGATTTTGAGATTTGGAAAAGGCCCTTGGAAAACGATCATCTCACACCTGCTCACAAATTATTTGTCATTCTCTAGTCTCACGTTGAGATTTTACGACTCAGTTTTGCAGAGTCGCTATTTACAAGACTACAACTTGATTCTTTCGCCATTTTTTTTTCCCCCCCACAATGCTAATTTTTCCAATCATGCTCAGTTGCGGTTTCAAAATCAAACCACGAGTCAGATCCTGGGCTCATACAGCAAAGCGATCACAAATCAGTCAGGGTTGTTTAAAAATTTAAATTCCTCGCAGAGGAAGGAGGGTTTGATTGGAAAGGAAATGTCTCGTAATTACAGTTGCTAAGAAAATATATTTGTGATGACTCAGAAGCCACAAAATGTCTGAGAGACAAATTGAGGCCGAACACGGCGTAAGGATTTGTAAAAATCACATTTTCATTTTTCCAGCACGCCTGCCTTTGGGCTACAACTACACGGATATTTTCCCATATGTCATCTCGATTGTTGGATCTTTCCATTCAGGTGCAGCATTGTTTGTCTGCACGTGTACAGTGAATCGGCACAACACTTTCAAATTGAAAAGTAGAGATGGTGGATTGTTGCTCGGAGGCGTTCATTATGCCAGAATTTGCCTCCGCATGGTCTATTAATTCACAAAATAATTGATCACCATTTTTTTTCTATAGCGTCCATTAGCTTTTAGCCTGGGGGCCAGTCGAAACAGACGCAGGAACAAAAGGCCATTATCAGCTGCGGCGGTTCTTCTCATTTCAAATAGGCATCATTCATCTAAGCGTCTGCAATACCAAATAAACATCTGTAACAGGTTTCCACTTGGAAACCTGCATCACTTCTTGCAGAATTGGAAATACCGTCGATGCTTGAAAATAAAATGACACTGAGGCCAATACGTAATGTATATGTTACCCTCAAATGTTGCACATATGTTTGGAGTTTCAACGGTCATCAAGGTGAGACGTCGGCATATTTTACCTACTTTGGCGGGCAAATTATTGACATTGTGTAACTCCGCCAACATGTTTGTCGTTTTTTTTTTTTTTTTTTGGTGTGATGATTTGTTCACCCTTCCAAGGACAGCGGTTACTACAGTGGACAACTTAACATGGTATCAGGATACAGGTTGCATGAAAATGTTAAAGTTACTCAATTTTCTTCTTGAAACCACAAACTGCTTATGACCTCCTTCGATGACTCTGTGGTGGGCTCAGCCATTCATTATGACATAGTCTGCTGGTCAGGCAGCATCTCAGCCCGGGACAGAGAGCGACTGAAGCAACTGGCCAGGAGGGCCAGCTCTCTCCTGGGCTGCTCCCTGGACACTCTGGAGGAGGTGGACAACAGGAGGATGCTAGCCAAGCTCAAAGCTATGATGGACAGACCCTCCCACGCCCTCCAGGCCACCCTGACAGCACTGGGCAGCTCCTTCAGCCAGAAACTGATAGAACCGCGCTGCAAGAAGGAGAGGTACCGCCACTCGTTCATGCCGACTGCCATCAGGCTATTGAACAGACAGACCTGAAACCCTGGACTCACCCTCACTCACCAATTTTTAATATGCTTATATCTATATTTTTTATTTATATTTATTTATATACTTTTTGTTCTTCTACTTCTCCCTTTATTAATTTTGCTGCTGTAAATTGGGAATTTATCCATTGTCAGACAAATAAACATTTTATCTTATCTTATCTTATCTCTGCTGTTTATGGCTCACCAACTGATCAACAATCAATTCTCAAATACTGACAACCAGAACAACTGATTACACTGATTATGCCTTTTTGGAATGTAAAATGGCAAATATGCTCAGATTATGGTATTATAGGTAGTGTAGGTGCAAAGGTAGGTAGGTAGGTAGGCAGGGTGGGTGGGGTGACGATGTTATCTTGGACCACATGACTTCTATTTGCATTATTTCCAATTGGAAAGTCAAAACAAAATGGAAGGTGACCCAGTACCCTGCAAGGAAATGCGCCCACTTGTACTTCTGTCTCCATCTCTTTCAAGCTGTCTCATGTTGCGTGTGCCTTCAGTGAAACTTCCAGCTCACTGTGTGAGACACATCTGCAATGCAGTGCCGAGGGAATGGTCGCACTCGAGGGAGCAGGGATTCGCGCGTGCATGTGTGTGTGTGTGTGTGTGTGTGTGTGTGTGTGTGTGTGTGAACACTAGAAGACAAAAAAGGCAAGAAGAATAGAGAAGAGAGTGTTGTCACCCAACACAAAATAGGTGCTTGTGGGACAGAGAGATAGTACCGCAAACGTTGCAATGTTTTTGTCTACGGGATGTACTACTGTACCGCACGTATCATTTAATATTTTAATATTGATACAGACAGGGTAGGCCAGATAGATTTATAAACACACAATCATAGAAAACACGTAATCATACAATGTCCAGGCAGTTAACCGAAAATGGCGGATACAAGGGCAGGTATGGACTTAGCATCAGGGCAAACATGAGCAGATTTGCAGGGGGGCCCATATGCCCAATCAATGTGATGAAAATAATTTTATTCAACCAATTCTTATTTTAGCCCTAATAATTGCTCTTGAAAAAAAATACATATATATATATATATATATATATATATAAAAAAAGCATGACCAGTATCGTTTCGACTGTTCCCATTTTCCAGTCTGATGCAATGGACAAACTTGAACCAGGAAGATGATGACAAAAACGTGTTGGTGCGACTGTCACCATGAAACAAAGTTAGCCAAGTTCAGCGGGAAAAAAGAATGAGAACATGGAAAACAAACAAACAAACAAAAAAGCCAAATCTACTATGTTTCAGTGTTTTGCGGTGACCATCGTGCCTAACTGACACCTGCAAGAGCCGGATACACTCGGCAGTTGCAGTCAGTGTCAGCCGAGGGATGAAGGATGACGCCAAGGATGACGCGATCGAGAAAGTTAAATTTTAATTAGTGGTCCTATTAATTAAAGTAAAATTCCTGATTCACCAGTTAGATAATAATCCTAAAGAATGATTTTGAGGAGTTTATCCAGCTGACGAAAAATTTGCTCAAATTCACCCTTTTTCAGTTGATGATAAAGAATATTCCAAAACTGATAAATGTTAGTCACTGGAAAGGGAGAACAAAAAAATGTAATTCATAATAGATAATTGTAACGTTTCAAAAGCAAGTGATGAAATGGATTAAAGATGGCATTATAATACACTTCAATGGGTGAAAAAAATGATTTAATTTGTTTAACTGAATTGAGTTAAGACCTTGTTTTTTTATGGAATGAATTCAACTCCAAAGTGAAGGCACCGCTGTGTCACTATTTTCTGCCATTGCTGCAAAAACACGGCCCATTAAAATGTCCAAAAATCAAACACAGCAACCATTTGCACCTCAAAGTGCTGTCACACAAAAATGGCAGAGAGAGGGTCATCCACCCCGCCTCCCACGAGCATTATTAATGGCGTCATCATTTTTCCTTCGCTCACTCTATTTCCCCTCTGATAGCGCGGCCCTGCTCGCTCGTGTTCTGCCATGTTTTTGTAATTGCTCCAACAGCCTTCCTTATGCTGAGCGTATACTTTTGTGTGTGTCCCACAGGCTGTGTGCATATGCATGTGTCTGTGTGTGAGTGTGTGTCGTGACTCCCCTTATTTTGCCGCTCCAACCGGGGGGCCGGCTGTGAATTTGTGGGGCAGAACCGAGCTGCAGGGCGAGCGCCACACGGAGCGAAAATGAGCGCCTCCGGGCCACCGTTGTTTGATGACCGTGAAAACACTTGCGGTTAACGCAAAGTGAGTGACCGGCTGTCGGGAGTGGGGGTTGTGTGTGTGTGTGTGTGTGTGTGTGTGTGTGTGTGTGTGTGTGTGTGTGTGTGTGGAGCCCTGACGATGCAGCACAACAACTACATTCAGCAGAGTGAAAACAAACAATAAAATGGATGCCTATGCAGTTCCGTCAGAAAAAGAAATCAATATATGTCAAACCGGTTAGCAATTATGCCCCCTAACTCCTCTCCCCATTCCAGTTGTGGAGTATGTGTGTGACTCAACATATTCTTGGACTTTGCTTGGTGCAACTTGGTGTATAGTGTTACCATGACTACATAGGATCACAAACATTTAGCGGACAACATTTTGGTGAACTAGCCATTGCACATTCACAATTTAAGAAGTGTTAAAGCTGCCATCGATGCGAACATGATATCATTTGAGTTTTACTGTATGTCACCCTTACAAATTTTGATGTAAACTACCATTGGAACCTTGGTTTAATTTTAAAGCTTTGATCACAAACTGAATAAAGGTTTGTCATCGAAAGGAATGGAACGATAATTACCCTGCAATTTACAGCTGCGACAAAAAAAAAAAAAAATACAGTGGTACCTCTACTTACAAATATCTTTTCATTCGAAATGTTCAAGTTATGAAACGTCTCAACAGGAAAATATTGCATCTTGTTACAAAAGAAATTTCAAGATACGAAAGGTAAAAAAAATACAGTATGGGTTCCTGCTCGCAGCTCTGAATTTCTTGAACGCAACATACTTATAGCTGCTCAGCCATTGGTTGGCTACTACCAAGCATCATCCCGGCATCCCATTGGCTA